TTTTCAATATAAAACCTGCACAAGTTAACGACTAGTCAAAAGATAGTATCCAACTTTATATTGTCATACTTAGGCATTTTGTGTGTAATATGTTCTGATTTGCTTGTAGTCAGATATTTGACTAGTTCTTGATTCAAATGTCTCTATTGTTATTTCATAGTCAATTCTAATAGTATTATATTATGCATTTACTGGAATCAATTATCTGATTCAACATATTTTATTTCATTTTATTCTATTCAGTTACTTTATTTATTCTGTATATTATGTACTATTTTGACATGTCCTATATCTTACGTGTACTGTGGATCTAAGGAATGTTAAATATACACTGAAAAAGCTAAGATCTCTTACACAGCATCAGCCCAATCCACTCCCACACTGTATCATCACCCATAAATGTGATCAATATCAGAGGTGTTGTTACATAGCCTCATCTACTGGGCAACAATGAATAAACCAAATGTGTAATACATTTCTTTAATGCTCCTTGTAATATTTTTAAGTTTCTGTTAACACAGCTACTACTATATTATATTTAAGCATCCTGTTACACTCACACAATATATATGAGACAAACTCCATCTTAAGTGCAACAATTTAATTGTAGTTCTTTCTTCTTCCCTTCCTCCACACTACATGTTTCGGCCCTAAATGGCCATCATCAGGTGTGTATTCTTATGTAGCTGCTACATACGTGTGAATATGTATTAAAGATAAGCAGCGACACACACAGAGAGAGCCTACACAGAACAATACCTGAACAGCGATAAAACAAGAAGTGGCCGCTGCAGCACTATAGACATAGGGCGTGTACCCCGAGAAAATGTTAATTTTTAAAAATTTGGAAGAAGAAAAAGAACAGAAAATTTATAGACATATTAATTTGAACTGAAGTTTTAAAAAATGCCAATTTAGAAATCAAATTGACGCGTGTAGGTTAACAAAGATTTTATACATACATACAATTGGAAAGACTGGTGATTTTAAATTTTAAACTACGGGCAGTGTAGCAGCTACGTAAGAATACACACCTGATGATGGCCATTTAGGGCCGAAACATGTAGCGTGGAGGAAGGGAAGAAGAAAGAACTACAATTAAATTGTTGCACTTAAGACGGAGTTTGTCTCATATATACAGCTACTACTGTACGCAAATCAATATCTACATATATGAAAGTAACATGCAACAAACTTACGTGTTATTGATCGCTTCTCCTTTTCTTGTTCTGCCTTGACAAATCGCCATCTTGCTCATCACTTGACAAAGTGGGAGCAGAGCTATTTGTTGCCAGTTTCTCAAACATATTTTCCGGCAAAGTTCCAATTTTACTGGCATTTCTTATCAGTAACTATATAAAAATAGATTACAAGTGTTAATACAGTCTAATGTAATATTCACATTACTACAAATAATGAGAACTAATAAACATTTCCAGTACCATGTGTGCATTATGCAAACCTTCCCAGTAAAAATACATTAGGAATTATTTTATAGCCCTTAAATAATATTTGGACTTGAAAAATTCTTGTCCTGACCAAATTTAATAACATTATCACATGTAATAAGTTAAAAGTGTAAGTCAACAACAAATTATCTGGGAATCTTTACATTGTCACATAGTATGTGACTATAGACAGGGTTTGCATTGGTGACCCAACTTACTGAATGAACACTTAATACATGCACAACTACAATTTACAGATCACTGACACACACAGACCAGTGTCTTCAATCCATTAGTCTCCACTAGCCATTTCCTGGCAGCAGATTTTAAAACAGGAACTATAATAGTCTCATTGAATTACACTCCAAATATCACACATAAAGTGTTCTTTTCAGAGCCAGACTTTCAACTGAGCATTCTTGCAACTAACTCTATTCTTTGAAACCTCCATAAACAAAACCGCTTCACAACTGACTTTGTCCCCTGCTTATAACATTTCAGGACAGAAACGTTGGAACACTTCGTTTCCAATATTAACACTATTGTGTGCATATTCGTTTCCACAGGAATGTGTTTACCGAGCCACTGCCCAGAAACAGTCATTGTTTACAGAGTCAGTGCTTAGCAACAGGTCTATATGCCACAATATTAAGTTCCATTTTTTCTAAATCTCTTTTAACAATTACTCGCCCCTCCCCAAATTCATATTCAGAAGACTAATTTCATAAAAAAGTTTAGTACAAGAACTAATGTCATTCTTATACATGATACATACAAGATATGAACACAGTTAAATTCAGAGGCATGTGCTAGCAACTGCAACCCTGAATATTTATGGTTAAATTTCTCCACCGCTTCCTAGCAGAACTGCACTTGAGGTATGCAAGTCATGCAAAAGTACCAGCTGTTCAGACCATATTCACACCTCATGATAATGACTAAATACACTATTCAACACAACTGTAGCCTTATTCATTCATTCATTCAGAGATCAGGCCAGAACTAAAAGCATACCCATGTAATGAATGATTTCAGTGAAATCTAGTGACAGTAAATTTGACTTTGTTCATCCTGGTCTGTCACACTAGCAATAGTATAAAGGATTATTAATGCCTTCCAGTGTGACTGACAAATGTTGATTTTTTTTAATCTTTCATCCTTTACGTGTTTCAGTCATTGCGACCATCTTCAGAAGGATACTGTACATATATACGTACAGAAACTACTATTACAATGTCACTGGTCTCTGTCAGCACCTATAGAAATTACTATTACAATGTCAGACATAAAATATTATTCTGTAACGATTACTATGATGTGTAATGTATTTTAGCATCCTGTTGCACTGATTTTCATCCATGATATGTATACAGTGGCCATCTTGTAGTGCACTCAATTTCACCTCTTACTTCACGACATGTTTCGGCAACATAGTGCCATCATCAGGTGCCCTAATTATGCTAAGCTATTGCATTGCTTGCCATTATATGCCTTTATAAAATTATTTAAAGTGCGTATTCGTAACTATAATAAATTTACCCACACTAAAACTTGTTAAGATTATTCATCTTTTGTCTCTTAATTAAAACTTGCGTGTGGTTCGTCCACTATGGGAGTCATTTTTCTTATATTCTGTGTAAACCGTGTCTACACATCACAAGACACGGTTTACACAGAATATAAGAAAAACGACCCCCACAGTGGGAGAACCACATGCAAGTTTTAATTAAGACACATAATAATCTTAACAAGTTTTAGTGTGGGTAAATTTGTTATAGTTGACGAATACGCACTTTTTAAATAATTTTATAAAGGCATATAATGGCAAGCAATGCAATAGCTTAGCATAATTAGGGCACCTGATGATGGCACTATGTTGCCAAACTATGTCGTGAAGTAACAGGTGAAACTGAGTGCACTACAAGACGGCCACTGTATACACATCATACTATGATGTGCATGACTTTGTTAAAACATTTATATAGGTTCTAGAGCTTTAACACAAACTTTTAAATAATACTTCGTAAATAGACTAATTATAATAGTTTATACACGTCACCCAACAGGTTGTTTATTTGGAGTGATGTATATTACATTTTTTTTTAATATGTGTATGGGCTGCTCTGTGTTGATGTCACTATGTTGTATCGGTTTGGTCTACACTACTTGTCTACTGCTATGACATAAGAGAAAGCAACACACAGTAAGGATCCTTGTTGGAGAATTAGATGCAATTCAACAGCTGAGTCTGGTATCATTTTACACTTGATAATGACCCAGTATATGGGTCGAAACATGTTGCATCAATAAAAACAAATGTTGATACATAGTGTCTACTTTGTTTTAAATACAGAATATTGTGTAGACTACATACTTTTGTATACGTTTTGTGTACCTTGTTTATGACACATGATGCATACTATTAAGATAAATTCAAACTGCTTGATGCCCTGGAAAACTTCAGGTTTCACTGTATAGTGCAGGGTGTTGTTCAAAACCAGGAGCACAAACTCAGTTACCTTTATGCGATATGTTCTTGAGGGCAACCTTTACTACCCAAAGTCACACATAAAAAAAAAAAAGGAAAAAAAGGAAAAGAAAAGAAAGTTAACCCTGTGCTTAATTAACACACCACAAAGATGGGAGTGGAGGTATAAATTTACCACTCTTGACCTTAGCACTAGATGGATGTCAACTGTTAGCTTTACCCCCAGGGAAGGAGCCCTAGCACCCACTGGACAGGAGGGTGGGTGGGCCCCAGAGCCAGTCCAGACACTGCAGGATAGACAAAAATCTCTTGACTCTGCTGAGAAGCAAACCTCAGCAGTTCAGCCTGTAGTTCTTCACATACTGACTGAGCTATCCCAGCCTGTGTAGTACAGGTGTAATCAGTATTTCTTCTAACGCTGATTCCAAAAGAGTAACATTTATGACTAAAGAACTGAACCCATGAAACAGTAGTTTAATCAAGTATGAGAAACATGTATTCAAAGATAAAAGAAAATCAGTGAATCAATAAGCCTTTTATGGCATTTTTTGTGATAACACAAATCTACACACTGAGATATATTAACATTATTAAAATAAGAGGTCTGTATCTGTCGTACTACAATAATAATAAGAATGGTATACAAATATTCACATGCTCCAAATGCAATTAGTTACTTTCCGTTTATTTAAATATGCTTATACTTTAAAGTTTTCTTCTAAATATACTTAAATTAACCCAAAGAAGAAAAGCACACAACGTTAGGTATACAAATGGCACCGGTAAGAAATAATTATGACTTAGCAGGAATCTTATGAAAATTCTTGTTTTAAAATTTTCACATTTGGAGACAACAAAAGGCAAGACAAGGTACTATGAATGCCAGGTAAATAATGTAATTTTCCAAAATACTTAATCTCAGTATATACTTCATTTAAATGCTGCTTCCTTCTTGTGCTATCTTCAAGAAAAATTATTTCAATTTATTAGTGAAACTACAAGAAATACTAACGAAATAAAAACCACAAAGTATGATTGTTCTGATTTATTAAGAACAGTACTACTAATTTTTACAAGTTTTATTACAGCAGAAAGAGTACATTTGAAGTTTTACACATTTATAACAGTACTGAAGCACAAATTTTAAGAACATAAGTTTATACAGTGCTATTCATTCTATTTAATCAATTATCTCTGACAATTTACTGTCATTAAGGGTAACTAAAATGTAACTGAAGAGTAAGAAAATTCAACTAAATGCCTACACACTAAAAATGTAAGCTAGTGCTATAAAATATGAAGTGGAATGTTCAGAACCCGCCTCGGAGGCGAAGGACCAAATGCAGGGTTGATTCTTTTTGGATGTTGTAATCTGAAAGTGTGCGTCCATCCTCCAGCTGCTTGCCGGCAAAGATAAGTCGCTGTTGGTCAGGAGGGATACCTTCCTTGTCCTGGATCTTTGCCTTCACGTTCTCAATGGTATCTGAAGGCTCTACCTCCAGAGTGATCGTCTTTCCGGTCAGGGTCTTAACAAATATCTGCATGCCACCGCGCAGACGCAGCACCAAGTGCAAGGTGGACTCTGTAAAACAGAATTCTCACTCTGATATTACAACATCCAAGACTGCCATTCTACAGGCATTAATGCTATAACTTGTTACAAGAAAAAACTGTATAAATAGAAAACCAGGATTATTTACATGAACGTCACGACATTCAACTTCAGCGTACCAATCACAACAAGATCCGTCAAAAAATCTGGCTGAAATACTGCAAAAGGTATAAAAGAAAGTGAAAAACCAAGCACATCAAGCAGCCGGAAGTGAAAATTCTTATCCAAAACAGGACAATTTAGTGCGATGTCAGGCATTTATATTGTCTGAAATGCATGTGGTTTAAATGCTGACACGGAGACACACAACACTTCCACTGTGATGTACCTCAGTACTTCCAGAGGGGCATGATGCTTTCCTGTTGTTATCAAATGTGATCTTATTTCATCTTAGAACTGTCATTTACCATGGTTGAAAGGATTTCATTCAAGCACCGCAATCTAACTTCACAAATTTATTTATACTAAAGCAGTAGTAACAATGCTAACATAGGTCACTTGCTCTAACAATCCATCGCACTCATATTTTATTCAAATCTAAAGAACTTCTGCAGGGTTTGGCATCCACACTTACCCTTCTGTATGTTGTAATCTGAAAGTGTGCGTCCATCCTCCAGCTGCTTGCCGGCAAAGATAAGTCGCTGTTGGTCAGGAGGGATACCTTCCTTGTCCTGGATCTTTGCCTTCACGTTCTCAATGGTATCTGAAGGCTCTACCTCCAGAGTGATCGTCTTTCCGGTCAGGGTCTTAACAAATATCTGCATGCCACCGCGCAGACGCAGCACCAAGTGCAAGGTGGACTCTGTAAAACAGAATTCTCACTCTGATATTACAACATCCAAGACTGCCATTCTACAGGCATTAATGCTATAACTTGTTACAAGAAAAAACTGTATAAATAGAAAACCAGGATTATTTACATGAACGTCACGACATTCAACTTCAGCGTACCAATCACAACAAGATCCGTCAAAAAATCTGGCTGAAATACTGCAAAAGGTATAAAAGAAAGTGAAAAACCAAGCACATCAAGCAGCCGGAAGTGAAAATTCTTATCCAAAACAGGACAATTTAGTGCGATGTCAGGCATTTATATTGTCTGAAATACATGCGGTTTAAATGCTGACACGGAGACACACCACACTTCCACTGTGATGTACCTCAGTACTTCCGGAGGGGCAGGACGCTTTTCTGTGGTTAGCAAATGTGATCTTATTTCATCTTAGAACTGTCATTTACCATGGTTGAAAGGATTTCATTCAAGCACCGCAATCTAACTTCACAAATTTATTTATACTAAAGCAGCCGTAACAATGCTAAACATAGACCCTTGTTGACTTTGTGGGGGTCTAAATTACTGTCAGAACCCTCCGAGAAGGAAAAGGTCAGAAAATATTTCACATTCATTGAGTTTCACAATAGTTTTTCGCAGCAAGCGTCGGAGTGTTCCTACAGACCAGCTGGAAAGTGTTGTGAACAAGATTTGTGCTGATGATGAAAGTGGCGATGAAATAATGATTCCTGAATTAGATGAAGTTGATAGTGACAATAATACAGTGATAGAGAGTGATCCACAAGACAGTAATCATGACATTTAGCCACCATGAGTGCGGTGCCTGACACATCTATCTCATGGACGTACGGAGACATTGTACCAACAATAGTTCCATTTACTAGTAGCTGCGGGATCAAAATTGATATAACACATAAAATGCGCCCCTTTTCATAGATTAAAATTTTTCTGGATGACGACTTAGTAAATCACATCACAACTGAAACCAATTGCTATGCTCACCAGCACTTCAACACACGAGTTAGCTCCTCTCTCTCGAGAATACAATTACAAATATGTCACACCAGATGAAATGTGGACATACTTAGGAATTGTGTTCATGATAGGAATCGACAAACACGCCAAAATTGAAGAATATTTGTCCACCAGGCCCCTATTTCACACCCCATGGTATGGACAAAAGATTTCTTTGTGGCGGTTCCAACATATCTCAAAATTTCTTCATTTTGCAGACAACAATGCACAACCAGCTGATTGTGAAGATCGCCTGTATAAAGTTAGGCCAATTATAGACTCATTAGTGGGGAAATTTAGAAACACACATATCCCTGAAAAGGAAATTGCAACAGATGAAGGAATGATGGCTTGGAAAGGACGTCTTATCTTTAAAGGACATATGCCTGATAAACCTGATAAGTACAGCATAAAGGCTTATCTTGTTTGTTAATCGACAAGTGGATATATTTGGAATTTTGAAATTTAATGAGGAAAATCAAGACCTATAAACGAATTAGTTGTCGATCCGTTGGGGCCACAGCTTCTAGATAAAGGGTATCATCTCTGCCAGGATAACTATTACAATAGTGTAGAATTGTGTGAGATGTTATTAGTTTATTACAGAGAAATACCGATGTGCGTGGTACCTTCAGAATGGACTGAGGAGCTCCTAAAGAACTAAAGGATGGTGTAAAAATTTGAAAAAAGGGAAATCTGTTTTTCTAGGAAGGGGCAGATTCTCATACAGGTGTGGGGAGATAAAAGAGACTTCAAACTTATCTCCATTCTTCACACAGCAAAAATCGTGGAATGTGCAAAAATGAATCGCAAAGGAGAAAAAATATGCAGACCCAAGGTAATTGAGGACTACAATAAACATATGAGAGGGGTTGATAGGGCCGATCAAATGCTGCATTATTGTCCTTGTTCCCGCAAAACTGTAAAGTGGACAAAGAAACTGGTGTTTTTCTTGTTGCAAATGGCAGTGTTGAATAGTTTCATTCTATTCAAAAAGCACACAACAAATGAAAAATACAAGAGAAAATACAAATTCAAAGATTTTATATTGGACTGTGTAGAAAAAATGACAGAACCAAACAAACAGTGTGGAGAGGGAGAAGTCAACATATGAAGTGGATGATGAATCTACTGCTTCAGACTAGGGTGCAGTCACGCCTCCGCCCGCAACCTTGAAAATACCACCAGTGAAGGACCTGGCAAATCGTCTAGAGGCTGGTCTGAAAATACACAAAATGGTCCATGTTCCTCCCAGTAACAAGAAAAATGGTGCCATGAGAAAATGTCGCATGCGCGCTAAGCATAAGATTAGAAAGAAACAAGGTGGTGTGGCTCTCTGCAAACTTTCATGTTTCAATGTTTATCACACGAAGAAAAACTACTAAAAAGGTATGAAAAGACATTTTTTGCATAAAATATTGTCTTTGTATTAGTTCCTTGAAAATTTTGTTTTTAAAAACAATTTTTGAGTTATTTAAAAAAAAGTAAACACATGCATTTTAGCGACTTAAAGCTTAAAGGGTCTGCCAGGACAGGGGTGGCATTTAAATACCCTTCACGCCAGTCAGTGTGTTAAGTGCAAAGTATGAAAATTTAACTAATCTTACCTCAGAAAGGGAACAGGCATCAGAAGTTGCAAAAATGTTGAATTATTCAGTATTTTTCACAGGGGAAAAGTCCATTAAATCAGGGTTGTCCAAGATGGCCAAAAAAAACTACATAATTCACTATCCTAGTCTTACCACNCAAATGTGTACCAGAAATTAATTAAAGCATGGCCAGTGCATAAGGCTGACAACCTTAGTGCCATCTTTGAGCCGATTGTCTAGATAGTGTGGGACCCTTAACGTCTCACAGCCCTATGGGCCTTCACAGCCTAGTACAGGGATAGCTTTACTTTACTTACTTTACACATTATGAATATGAATCAGTGCTGCAGGACACTAAAATACAACAACATTATTTAAAACTATTACAGAAAGTGCCGTGCCATTTTTACTAGCCTGCGCCACATGACCACGGAGCACGTGCCCCACTGTGCAGATGTAACCTTTTACATTTCTTAAGCTAGAGGGGAGAAAAATGCAGCCATTGATATGAATGATGCTTCATTATGTTCCCAATAGACAACTCTATGCACCCGCCAAGTTTGAATGAGACTGCTGTAAAGAAACCCAAGATTTTAAACCCTAGTCACAATAACGGTTTTGTCGATGACAGCAAGGACACCATGTTTTCAGAGATCAATATGTCGACTGCAGCAGTGTAAGGGTTAAACCACCACCTTCATAGTGCATCCTGTTTCATGTACCAAGACAGGATGGTCTCCACCGATACAATCCCATTTACATTTCATGAAAATCATCAAATGAAAGTGAATGATGCCCAGAACAGGACACGTACAGACAAAGAGCGAATTAATACAGTTCCAAAGAAACAAGATTATTTTTGAACCATGTGAGTGATCAATTTTTGTCAAGCAATGTCTCCTAGAACCCTCTGTAACCTTAAAAACCTTATCTGCTTTAATAAACTGTGCCAACTCTTTTACCTTTTTGTATATTGTAGTCAGAAAGTGTGCGACCATCTTCCAACTGCTTTCCTGCAAAAATCAAACGCTGCTGATCAGGAGGAATTCCTTCCTTATCCTGAATTTTTGCTTTTACATTTTCAATGGTGTCTGATGGTTCCACTTCAAGAGTGATGGTTTTTCCGGTCAAAGTCTTCACAAAGATCTGCATCCTGTGAACACAAAATGCAATGTTTGAACAGTCTGTAGAAGGGGGGAGGACATCAAAACGAAAGTATATAGAAACTACCTTTAACTCTTCCATTTAAGTGGCAGATAAGAATAAGTTTAGACCAGTGCTCTTCTGTATTCTATTCTGATCTCCTGAATTTTTAACAGGGTGAAAGTTTACAGTACCTCAAAGAACTAAAAATATAACAGTGACTCTGTAATTACAAAATACAAAAGCCATTGTTCTCAGCAACAGATCATATTACCAACACAAGAATTCAGGGCATGTCATATACACTCGATACAAATATAAATCCACTATTAGTTACAAAGAATACATGACATCCCTTGCCATAGCATATATATCTACAAACTGCCATCTTACAGGCACCCCAAGTACAGTGATGGAGGTAACATTTATGTCCTGCATGTCAGAAGCTTCCCAATGTTTTCCATAATAAGTGACAGTACTGTAACAATTCAGTGGCAAAGGAAAGTACAGTAAAACCTGGTTATAGCAACATCGGTTTCTGCGACACCTTGTCTATTGCGTCAAATATTCAATGGTACGAACTAATTCCTCATAAAGCAACTGTTTTTATACCTTGCTTAGTACGACATGCACAAATGCATCAACCTCGTATGTAACGTCATTTTCATTCCTGAATTTCTCTGATATCGTGGGAAAGTTCGATGTGCCTGCCCACCCTCACTTTCTCTACTTGCTGACGTAACTGTCCTGGAAGAATACAACTGCGGGCTGCAAGAGGAGCGTGGGTTTTATGTGAAAACAAGGGTATGGGGTGGGACTGCGTGAATAGTGCAAGAGGACGCGGCAGGTTGTTAACTGCATTCCTTTCCTAGAATCTCGTCTAACAGGACCTCACATTGTCTACTTACCCTATAGTGTTCCTGCCTAAACCCAGAGAAGTGCAGTAGCAAAAACATGGCAATGAAAAGGAAAGTTTTAAGCATTGAAGTGAAAGTTAAAGTGATTCGTGAAATAGAAAATGGAAGGAAAAAAGCTTATGTATGCCACAAATTTGGTCTGGTGAATTCTACAGTACAAACGATATGGAGAATCCATATTAATTCCACGTTAATGTTACGTTAGTCTGTACTTTACGTATTTCACTAAAAAATGCAACATTTTAACTCGGTTTTTGGTAGATTTTTACGTGACTAACATAAGGCTACTGTGGAAGTGCCTATTTCGGTTACGACGACATTCGTTTATAACGACACTATTTTTAGGTCCCTTTGATGACATTATAACCAAGTTCTACTGTAATTTAATTTTTCAAATAATTCCCTGGAAGACATTTTTTCCAGCCCTACCATTATTCTAATCGGAAGGTCGCGGGTTCAAGTCCCGATGAAGTCATTGGATTTTTTCAATTGACCTAATCCTTCCATCCACACTAGGCCTTGGGGTTTACTCAGCCTCTAACAGAAATGAGTACCAGGAATTAATTAAAATAATTTTCCTGGGGAGTAAAGTGCGACCGGCGCGTAAGGCTGACAACCTCACCGCCACCTCTGAGCCGATTGTCTAGATAATGTGGGACCCTACACGTCTCACAACCTTATGGGCCTTCACGGCCTATTACAGGGATAGCTTTACTTTTTTTTACTTACGATTATTCTAATTCCTTTATTTTGATGTTAAATACTTCTCCGCTGTCATAATTTCCCCACGAGAAAATTCCATATGAAACAATGGAATAAAAATACCCATAATTGGTTCTGAAGTTCTATTTTCATGTATGATGTAACTGCTCTCATGGCAATGCATGCTGAACTTAGCTTGGGGTCCATACATTCATTGCTTTTCTTCTTCAATTTATCATCAGTTTAGATGACAAGGTAAGGATTATCCTACTTCTTCGGTTACTTTACTATTACAATCAATATTCAACTTAATACTGCAGTAGTAGCAAATTTCACTGAATTCTGTCAAAACATAATACATACATACATAGTTCATTTCCATTGATCCACTGTCTGATCTGAACCGGATATAGAACTCATTATAAAAAGACTTGATTGCAAAGAAACAATTGAGTCAACGACTACCAACAAATTAAAAATGGCAAAAAAACACTTATACGCCATTAGAACTACCAAATATAGTGGGTAGAAATCTCACACACCTTACAATTATCACCACTTGCAGTATCCAATTACTGCTTCCACTATATCTCGGCCAATATTAGACTCCTTTCGGTGTTATTTTCAGTTTCCCGTAGATCGAATGATATGTAAGAATCAGTGTTCACTCTGCTCCTGTTTTATTAAGACTCAGAAATTTGATACAGAAGTACGCCTTATATACATACAAACTTATAACCATAATAACACATAACAATATAAAGATACTGTTGTTACACATGTAATTGTAGTTATACATAACAGTAAACATCACTTAGGTAACAAGAAATAACCTAGTTCTTAAATTGTTTGCTACGATGTTGCCAACCCTAACATTATATTTTGGTATTTGAGAGTTGCCAACACAACACTCCCCCTTAAACAATTTGGGAGTTTTTATTTTACATACTTATTCATCGTGAATATATCAAAAAATTATTATTATTCAGAACATCATTTGGAAACATTATTCTTTGCACAATCCAAGTAAATTAATAAAATCAGTATGCTTCCGTACATCCTTTAATTTTAATTCCGTATTTAAGGGTTTGTTTAATAAGTACACGTCTCTATATCATTAAAAACGTCTTACATGAAAATATCTACTTACACGAACAGCGTTCCACGTAGGGCGGTAAGCAAAGTTTATTATTAAATAAAGACTGCGGAATTCTAATGCTAGTACCCAATTACGATTTTCGACGTTATAACACAAAATGGCTGCCACTAAATAAAAAAAAAAAGGTTCGTTACTTAATGTAAACGTACGTGTTTCAACTTCGCGACGATACATGCACTAAAGTAATTCAAGATTTATTAGAAGCCCTGTTCTATTACACTTACCTGCTCAGCTCCTTGAATCACAAAATTGAGCGCACACACTACCAATTCCAATACCAGACCGATCAAACCTAACAGCCCTAACAGATTCTACCTCGCTTTACCTACAGAACGAAGCCTCGAAACCGACATTCAACTATTATTGATCAGTCTTCTACGCAGCTACAAACTTGAATCATATTTACTATACACACTTATGTACTCGAACAGTTTACAATATTTTAAGGCTATATATACCACAAATTAGATATACTTCTACTAACACGATTTTGTTCCAATTCACGTTGCAATTAGCAACTGGGTTAGAGATTACAAGTCAGTATGAGGCGGCATGTGGGCATGTCATGCATGACGTTGCATTTATTATTAATTCTGTAGATCATGATACAATTATACAGGACAAGTCTTTCTGCAAATATACAGTATTAAATTACAACAATCTTAATACTAAAAATTATATAAGATATATAACATTTTATACATTATAAACTATATACTGCTTACATCAGCAGCAAATATTCGAGAATACGTGGTTCAAATAGTCCTCCCTTGCATAATAGCACCTCTGAATAAGTAACTTCTTCAATTCCCTTGTGAACTGAGTTTGTTTTTTTATTTCTTTTATGTTGTTAGGCAATTTGTTGTGAAAGATACAGCCAGCTACTGAAGGATTACTATTATAAAGTTCTAAGTTGTGCCCATATATATGATAGTCTTTATTATTTCTTGTGTTGTATGTGTGTATTCGTTCTTTCACTGTGCAGTTACACTTTTTTTTAACACATATAGAATTGTTTCTTGTATATATAGCGAGTATACTGTTAGTATCTTTAGATTTCTAAAGCTATCCCAGCACAGTTCGAGATGTTATTCCATATGATAGATGAGGAAGGATCAAACCATAATACAACATTCTTCTTTCATTTAAACCGAGTATTTTAGATAGCCTGTTAATTATTGCAGGTTTTTTCAACATGTAATTCCCAGCTCAAGGTACTATCTATTACTATCCCTAGGAAATTTCTTTATTAGGATTTTTAGATTACTTTCCTGCCTGCATTGTTTTGTCTGGAAGAGTATAGTAAGTTTTAGATGGATTTATAAATAAATTATTTGTCTCAAAGTATTGCTCTACCACTCCTATATTATTTGAAGTCGTGTTTTGAAGCTCATTCATATCTTGTCCTACATTCAGTATTGATGTGTCATCAGCATACATTATTGATCTGCCTTGTGTTAGATGTGGGATATCGTTTATATACAAGATGAAGAGTAATGGGCCAAGGACCGATTCCTGGGGGACTCCGTATCTCACTGGGAGGCTACTTGACAAATATTTTATACGATTGCCTTCTGTGTGTGTTACTTTTATGTGTTGAGTTCTGTTTCTGAGATAGAATTTGATTAGCTTATGTGGTATACCACAGACTCCATATTTGTATAATTTATCCATGAGAATGTTATGTTGAATACAGTCAAAGGCTTTTGATAGGTCTAATAGTACACAGTTGCATTTTATTTTATCATTCAAACTTTTTATTATGTTTTCAATAATTGTGGCAATTGCATTGTTAGTAGATTTATTTTTCCTAAATCCAAACTGAGATTTATTAAGTATATTGTGTTTTTCTAAAAATGATATTAATTGGTTAGCTGTTACTGTTCCCAGAACCTTTGATAGGGCAGGTATAAGAGTAATTGGACGATAGTTATTTGCATCTTCTTTTATCCCGTTTTTGTAGACTGGTCAGACTACTGATTTTTTTTAGTTTAGAAGGGAAGATGCCTTCTTTGCTTGATGCACTGACCAATTCTAAGAGTGGCTTTATTATGTAAGGTGTACATTTTTTTAGCAGATATGGTGAGATGTCATCAAGTCCTACTGATTTTTTATTCTTCATGCCCTGAATTACTTTAATCAATTCAGTCTCTGTTATTTCTAATAGGACAAGTGAATCTTTTATGCTTATATTGTTATTACTGGTTTGTGGATGTAATAAATTTTTGTCAAATATAAGTTTATTTAGTTTCTATGAAGGTTTTGTTAAATCTGTTACATGTTCTACTCGGACTTGAGACTATTTCATTTCCATCTTGTAAGTGTATATTACTAGTGAGAGTATTTTTTGGTGAGCCTCTTTCTCTATTAACAAATTCCCACAATATTTTTGGAGTGTTATTTGATCTGGTTATAATATTCTGGATGTAGTTTGCTTTTGCATTTTTTAATATTACATTATATTCCTTTTTATATGCTTTATAGATGTCTTTATGTTCCTGAGTCTTACTTTGCATATAAAGGTTGTACAAATCATTATCATCAATAATAATGGTATATCGATCATCAGTATGTGCTGCATCATACGAATCAATAACAGATAGTATATCCATTATCAATCATTATTCCAAAGCAGCAAAAAATAACAATGTTCACATACACATGTTTTAATGCAGTTACACTTTACGATGTCCACATTCCTGCTGTGCGGTTCAGTGAAGTTCCGTGACGATAATGTAATTTTGTGATTTACGATGGCGTAAGAAACTAGGCTATGATAATGCTTCTGGATTAAATAGAACTGCATAAGAACTGGTCGTGGCCTAATCAAGGTATGTAGGTCAGTCAAAAAGTTCCCGAATTCCCCTGGAGATGGAGAACAAGCAATAAGCTAGCGCACACACTGTTGTAGTGGGAAGCTCAGCATGTCTGCTCACAGGTGCGACAGGTTTCAGTGTGCAACGTTGTTACTGTTCAGTTTGAATTAAACGTGAGTTGGTCATTCGGCGCAATGTCACAGTTCAAACAGCGTTCGAACATAACGTTCATGTGCAAATTGGGACAAACTGCTTCAGAGACGCTATCAGCCCTGCAGCAAGTTTACGGTGATACTGCACTACAGAACTCCACAGTTTACGACTGGTTTTCCCAGTTTAAGAATGGGCAGGAGACGTTAGAGAATGACCAGCACAGGGGGAGACCTTCGACATCCAGAACTGTAGAAATGATTCGAAAAGTGCGACAACTGATTCAATGTGATCGAAGAATGACCATTGCGGAGTTGGACCAAGAAGTTGGTACTGTTACTGGCCATTTCTACGTGCAAGTTTTGCACGTAGAAATGGCTTGTTTGTCTGTGGTGCTCTGTTGTGTGCGTTCCTGTTTCAACCCTTTGGCGATTAGCGAGATGGCCAACCAGAAGGAACAAAGAGTGTGCGTGAAATTTTGCTTTCTGTCAGGGAAAACTGCACTTCACTCTTCAAGTCACGGCAAACATTCACGCGGGTTTCTCTTTGGTCATCTCTGAGCAAGCGAGGAACAAATTTTGCAGACACCCGTCTCATGTGCAAACCTTCGGTTAAAATTCGCTGGACCGTGCTCCATGAGATGTTCGTTTCCTCAGAAAGTTGGTCAATGGTCTTTCGACGATCTTCATCAATTTCACGCACACTCTTTGTTCCTTCTGGTCGGCCATCTCACTAATCGCCAAAGGGTTGAAACAGGAACGCACACAACAGAGCTCCACAGACAAACCACTTAACTCAGACTGATGCCAGCTCACTAACAGTCACGGGAGACCCCCAGCTAACACCACCTAGCAGCACAACTCGTAACTACAAAGCATCCGCGCGCAACAGGTCGTTTCCAGTTATTTTTGGGTCCCCCCTCGTATAGCAAATTACAAATAAGACTTAAGAGATTACAGAAAATGATAAATACTGCTGTTATGCAAATACTCCTGGTACTTCTGCAAGTTTATATTCATGCACTGAAGTTCTTTTCAGAAACAGAGCAAATGTGATGCTTGAAACTTGCAACCCTGGTCTCCTGTGAAGGATTCTTAAGGAGAATTTCAAGCCTAGTAATGGTATCATACAAGCTCTTTTAAACTGAACACTTAATTGGTTTTTCTTTGTGTAAGCATGCGTCCCCAGTAATTATGAAACTCTACTTATGAAGATTCTCCTGATAAGAACAGCACACTTCCCCATCTACTGTAATCTGAATAATTTTACTTGTAATTTGTTGGGCTACAATGGCTTATCCCCAAACTTGAGGAAAACTAAAGTGTTAAAATTTGAAACAATCAATTGTGACAATATGCCTGTACATTTAAAGTTTAACGATGAATTATTACAAGAGGAAACTCATATTAAATTCTTGGGCATTGAAATTGATAAGTTGAATCACTGTTACCCAGATTGGGAAAGGCATGTTATGCAGTACAAATTATGAAAACATAGTGTAATGTTACAACACTTAAAATGATATATCATGCATACTTTCATTCACTCATGAGATATGGAATAGCCTTTTGGGGTAATTCGTCAGAGGCCAAGATCTTTCTATTGCAAAAGAAGAGTATTCGGATAATAATGGGGATGAAACATAGAGAGTCATGTAGGCCAGCATTTATAAAGTTAAATATATTAACACTGGTCTCTCAATATATTTTATTTCTGATGACTTTTACGATAAATAACTTGGAGTATTTTACTTTTAATAATTCAATTTATGAGAGACCAACAAGACACGAAAGAAATTTACATGTCCTACAATCACATCTCACAATGAGGCAGAAAGAGGTCCACTGCATGAGTATAAAAATATTTAACAGTCTGCCTGATTATTTAACTGATTTAGTACATGATAAAAAACAGTATATAAAAGAAATAAGGGATGTCCTAATACATAATCCGTCATATACTGTTGATGAATTTTTGATCTTCTGTCGGGATCAACAGCTAAGGAATAGAAGGGGAGTGGATGCTGACTGATGGATGTCCCACAGTAGGCATCAATATAGACATTAAGTGTAAATATAATCTCTATTTTATGTATTTATTTAGATGCACGTTGTTTGCATTTATGTTTGTTTGTTATTGTGATATGGCATGTTGGAATTGTAAAGATGTATTGTTGTTTGTAAAGCTTGTGACATGTTTCATATTCAGTGCAGATTGCACTTATGAATATCCTGAAACACAGATTTATGTATGTACAAGACTGTCCATTCCACGAACAGCACAACTATCTGCAGCAAAACTATACTTGAGCACCAGATGCTCCCATCCGTGGGAAGCTTGAAGATGATTGTGCTGTATTTAGAAGCAAATGAAGTCATTCCTTTCTTAGCACAGTGGCATTAATAAGGATATGAAGGTAAAGCTGCATTCTCAATCTGTACAGCAACAGATAAGTCAGCTACTTGCTGTGAACACCTTTACTGAGCAAGAGATCAAAAACCATTCTGAACATGGTGGTGATGTAAAAAATGCCCATGTCCCTCTTGGGAATCAAACCTGTGTCCCCCAGTCCATATCCCGGTATTTTATTAAATTCTATTTCAAATTAATTTACATAACTGGATTAATCTCTTGAGTACACACATTTTGGATATCCATTCTAGCATAATAAGGTGGCCAACTTAAAGTTTAAGACAGTAGTTCATAACTACCTGATATAACATGTAACTATAGAGTAGAAAGTAAAGGTATCCCTGCAACAGGCCGTGGAGGCCCATAGGGTTGTGAGATGTTGAGGTTCCCACATTTTCTAGACACTCGGCTTATAGATGGCAGCAAGGCTCTTAGCCCTATGCGCCAGCCATCCTTTACCCCCAAGAATATTCCTGTTACTCATTTCTGTTAGAGGGTGAGTCGACCCTAGGGCCATAGTGTGGCTGGAAGGATTAGGTCAATTGAAAAAATATCCAATGACCTCATTGGGACTTGAACCAGCAACTTTCTGGCTTGTAGCATAGTGCCCCATAACATGTAAATATAAACAAGAAAATTAAAAATTGACCAACTTAAGTCCTAGAAATACCACATAATGGGCCCACACACTTAGTATGGGACTCATTGCTACAGTGATGCATCAAGTTCTTTCAAATCTTAATTAATCCCTGTACCCTGTATGCACTAATCAGCCAAATTAAAATTATACACACAGCATTCACCTCAAGAATTATCAATGAGATCTCAATACTTCACTTCAAATATCTCAGTGGACTCATCTCAGTCAGCCTATATGGATGCATATAGCAGCTTATCCAGAAGCTGCACTTCAGGATTCCAAATGCAAATCCTTGGCAACAGTGTAGGCAGTCAAATACATCATCTTGGACTTGTTAGATTTAAACACAGCTATTGCCTTGTCTCTCACATCTTCCCAGTCATACATGTCCCTGCAATATTCAACAGTATCACATTCACAATTACATATGATTTCCTTCTCATGCACACATATAAAGGTAGCTATTTACTAACTGGTAAGTTGATGGAAATGACCGGTTAGTTTGCTGACTGGCCATTCTGTCTGAATGCCAGGTATGATTGTGTGTACACTTGTTTCTCCAACATTATTGTGGTCATTCAGCTTTACCAATGACATGCCTAAAAAGATGAACAGGTAGTTCAATGACTAGTGAAAGCTAAATGAACCATTCTATGCTGAGTATAAAGAAGAGTGTGTAGTTACTTATGAAATCAAAGAAAGGTGCTGCCATGAAATAAACAACTGCAAAGTTTGGGTAGGTAAATCTACCAGAATTTCAGGAGATCCAAAAATCCAGCTCAGCTTGGGAATGAAGCTTCCCAAATAAGAGGTCCCGTACTTGTATAAGTCTCAAGTGTCAAAGAGAAATACCTGATATTAATATTAATATAAATGATACAATAAGATGACAGTAATGTAATATCATCCAAAACATGGAAATGGGAAGATTATGTAATTATCTGCACAGTCTTATCATGCTCCATACTGTGGGAACAACAGTGGGAAGCAAAGGAGATGAAGAGGAAAGTATGTCCTCCAAATGATAATCATCATCATCATCATCATCATCATCATCATCAGTGATCTGTCAGACGACAGGTCCACAGTCTCTTCCAAAACAATTCCTCCACTTAATGCGATCTAGAGCTTTCTCCTTCAAATGACAGTATCCTCTTATGTCCCCAAGGTCATCCAGCATCTTCTTATGTCTTCTTCCTCGTCTTCTTGTCACTTCTAGCTGCCCCTCTATCTTTCCTTCAATAACTTCTTTTAGAAGGCAGTTTCTGCATAAAAAATGACCAATCCAATTAGCCTTCTGTTTTCTTATTTTGTGCAGGATATTCCTCTGCTCACTGACTCTAATTAACACTTCTTCATTTCTCACATAATCGGTCCAACTGATCTTCTCCATCCTTCTCCAACACCACATTTCAAAACTTTCCAGATGTTTGTGATCTACTGCCCTAAGTGTCCATGTTTCAGCCTCATACAGAGCTATGCTCCAAATGTAGCATTTCACTAGTTTCTTCCTCAAATTTAAATCCAATTTGCTGGTAAAAAGATTCTTCTTCTTGCTAAATGCAGCTTTTGCCATGGCAATCCTGGATTTAATTTCACTACTACACCTTCCATCATCTGTTAGCAAGTTACCCAAATATTTAAAACATTTCACATTCTCCAGTTGTTTTTGGTCTACAAAATGATGTGATGGAATAAAATACATATTTTTGTTTTGGGCTACCAACTGTTGTAGAACAAACTGTCACTAGTTCGCAAATGAAAATTTTGATCATTTCATCTTTTAACTGATATTATGTTACCTACATAAACGCCTGAAAAAGAATAATAAAATGGAAATGCATAAACTAAATGTTGGTTTTATAATCAAATATGACACCCTGATTATGTGTCACAACAGTTCACTTGGTTGGAAATTACATTCATAATTACCTTAATAACATATTATAATAGGGTCAATATTGCCAAAGGCTACTATAATTTATAACAGAATATGCACAGAATTGTGCCAAGTGTGCTTCAGCAGCAACATGGCAATAACTTAGGCCATAGGTGGCAATACTGTACACTGACATACAAACTCCAATCCCCTGTGAGATTTGTCAATACTCCAATAGACAACCACTTTGGAAAGTTTGCGGGCCCTGAAAAGGGCCGTTTGTTCCAACGCGGTAGATACAGTTTTATGGCCATTCGGCTGGTCTGTCTGACCGGTGATGTAGGGCTGCGTGCGCCGGTAGAAATAGATGTTGGCTACGGTGTGTTGGCTAATGCTGCGGCAGCTGAGTTAGTTGTCTGGTTGCAGTGCGGCAGTTGCCGGAAGTTGCCTGGTCGCAGAGCGTGGTTGCTGGAAGACGTCTGGTCGCGGAGCACAGTCACTGGAGTGGCGGCAGCTGTGCCAGTTGCCCGGTGTGTTGGGCATGACCACCTCAGAGCCAAGGCAGCATCCCTGATGCAGTGATGAGCCGATGACTCCGAAGACTGATCGCTCTGGGCTAGGTGTGATGGCTGACTGGCTGATGTGGTCACTAATGATTGTGAGCTTTGGGCTCCGCCTTTTATACCATGCTTGATGGAGGAGCGAAACTTGCAGTTGCAATTGTGAGTGCTGATTGGCTAGCGCGTGTGATGGTTACAAGTGAGCTGGATAGCGAGCGCTGTATAAATATGAGAGCTGATAGCAATATGCGGCAATGTGCTATTGACTCAGGAGTGAGTGTTGTCCGTTGATCGACGAAACAGTGTGATAGTATGTTGGATGTTCCCACACCCCTTTTCCCTTTGTCAGTCAAGGGAAGCAGTTCAGGAGGAGGGAGAGTATTCTGCAACTGCCAAGTTGGTCAGTCACTAGAGTTGATCTAGAAGCTTGATCTCAAATGGTGTACAATAGAGAACCATGACCCAGTAAGATACAGCTATCAGATTATTAGCAAGTAAAGCACCCAGCACATACTTTCAGACATTATAAATTTGTATCTAGATCTTGAACCAATGTACTGGGGCCAATAAAGTTAGTTACCACCGTTTAAGCGTATCCAATTAGTTCATCCAAATTTGTAGCAGGTGCTCTTGAGGCCTACCTTCATTTCCGTGTGATTGATCATAGGATCTAAACAAATAATAGGTAGGTTGCTGGAGCCACGGGTCTATGAGCTATTTTTATTTCCACAAAGAACTGACTTTTGCTTTTTGGAACAATTCTTTGTTTTACATGTGTCAATTTATTTTTCTGCACATTATATTTTGTTGATGGTTAATATATTAAAGAGGTGTAAAATGACACCCAGTGAACTGTTAATGACCTACCCTCCCATGAGGTTTATAGCAATCCATTATATCAAAGACTTAAGAAAAAAAGATTTGTAATAATTACCAAAATGAACAGGGAGGTCCACCTTCTTACAGGCATAAATTTATGGCCACTGGTTATCTTCTTGCATTTGACCAAGAAAATATATATTTGTTTTAACTAGAAAAATTGTGTTGAATTGTGAATAAAACAATATTAACTATGAAGGGCATTCTGTATATAATGCCTCCTATTTTTTTGTGTTAATATGTTAACATCTGAGCTGGATGTTGGTGGTGGTGTAGTAAAGGTTGAACCTTCCCGCCAATGTACTGTTAGTTTGGTTGTTGTGCGACAGATAGCGACAGCAGATCAGTCTACCAAAATGGCGTCTGACATAGAAGTGCGTACGAAACAGAGATGTGTTATTGAATTTCTCACTGCCAAACAAATTGCACCCACTGACATCCATCAACGCTTGCTAAAGGTGTATGGAGATGATACAGTGGATGTCAGCACAGTGAGGCGGTGGGTAGTGCATTTCAACAGTGGTGAAAGTGAAGTGCACGACAAGCCATGCCCTGGGCATCCCTGCTCAGCTGCCACTCCTCACAATGAACAGCGCCTCAATCAGCTCATCCATACAGATCGGCGGATAACGACTAGGGAACTGTGTGCACGGCTTAATATCAGCTGTAATGCATTGGAAACGATGTTGGGGAAGCTGGATTATCGCAAAGTGTGTTCCAGGTGGGTCTTGCGGATGCTTATACAGGACCACAAAACTCATCGAATTGAAGTCTGTCAGGACCTGTTACACCAGTTTGAGGCTGAAGGTGACAAGTTTCTGGACAGCACTGTCACTGGAGATGAGACATGGTGTCACCACTATGAGCCAGAATCCAAAAGACAGTCCATGGAGTGGCGACATCCGGATTACCCAAGAAAAAAGAAGTACAAGACACAGCCATTGGCAGGGAAAGTGATTTGCATGGTCTTTTGGGATAGGCAGGGTGTGATTTTCTTCGATTTCCTGGAGCCTGGTGACACTGTCAATTCTGAACAATACAAGACGACGCTGACTAAGCCGAAAGCCCGCATTTCCCGAGTTAGGTCAGAGAAGCAGACAACCTATCGCTTGCAACATGATAACGCTAGACCCCATACCAGGTTGGTGACCAACATGCACACTGCAAAGTTTGGCTGGACTGTCCTACCACATCCACCTTATAGCCCCAATTTAGCACCTTCAGACTTCCATCTCTTTGGGCCTATGAAAGATTGACTACATGGGCAACATTTTCCAGAGAATGATGCTGTCATTGCAGCTGTAAGAAAGTGGCTAGCCTCTGCTGGTGCAGACTTTTACAGGTGCGGCATACAGGCTCTTGTTCATTGCTGGCAAAAGTGCATAACGAATGGTGGTGGTGATTATGTGGAAAAATAACTGTAAGTAGCTCAAATCTTGCTCTATTTAACTGCTTTATTATGCTTTCTGTATCTATTGTAGTTTTCATTAAAAAAAATAGGAGGCATTATATATGGAATGTTCCTTGTAGCAGTTAATTTATTTCCGCCATGACGCTAAGTAGACTGCTGTTCTATTTAACTGGAACAGTGAAAGGGGTATGCTATCTCGAAAAGATTCAGAATATAACAGGACTAAACCAAGCTGTTCAATCATGTCCACTGCGTGAAGAAAATAAGCTTTGTACTGTAAAGCTCACCTGTAAAGGGGCCGAACAAATTTCATACGGCCTTGTGCAACAACGAACTCTAGTGCACGGTCCACCTGCTCTTTCCACCTGCCCTTGATACCCAACCGAAGCCACCTGCATGAATGTTTATTAAAAATTGTTAATTCTATATGGAATGCAGTACATAGTTGATTATCATCTTTGTACATCTAACAGAAACAGGGAACAGCACTTAACTGAGGACCTAGACATATTGTGGTCCTGAAGGTTTGCAATGATGATTTAGTATTCTCAGAGGTGCATGTGAATTTTAATCTTATTGTTTTTAACAATTTATGTTATAACAGTAATAATCTTTAAACATGACAGTGTGTGCTGTCCATGAACTGTAAAACCTTCCTGAAGGACCTTTCATGAAAGAAATAATGCACATAAATTGATATTACACTGCAGTTCACAATGTAAAATATCCTATGGTGACCCTTAAGGTAGGTCAAAACATGTAGTAGGACAGGAGTCCATGACAAGGGCAAAACCTGTCATACTGGTGGCTTTATTAAATAAATAGTTATCTAGGTAAGAACAGTTACTTCATCCACACTATGTACACTACCAATGAGAAGCTCTGTAGCACCTGTAAGGTGTCCTTGTTGTGGTGAAAGTTCCTCTTTCTCAACAACCCTATTTTCATATTTTTTTTAGATCTTCCTTTTTACTTACCTGAAATATATCTCAGAATTGCCCATGGAATTTAATTTGTATGTATTCTCCATTGTCTGTAGCTTGGTAACAGACAAAGGGTTCTCCTCAAGCAGCTGAGCCAAAAATTCTCGCACCTGTCCGGAACTCATATTATTTATGTCGTCAGGTTTAAATGGACAAGGACCACCTGCCACTGCATCCCATTCCATCCATTTAATACACAGACCTGTGCATACTTCTTGTAATGAGGTGTCATACCTAAGAAATGGGTGAACATACATTCTTCATGCCAGATTATATCAAAATGCAGCTACAACATTTCTGATCTACATTTAACCACCATAAGAACATGGAATACTGAGATAACAATGGAGGTTAAAGTTAACAAACAGCAAAGGTAAAGGTATCCCTGTGCTTAATTAGTTAATCATTATGCCATGAAGACATAAGGAAGAATGCAGGTACAGCTCCATCTTCCTTAACCTCAACACTAGATAGAGTAAGTGGTCAACTTCATGCCACTGCTGCTTTACCCGCTCCCCAAGGGAAAGACCCTCTAGTACCCATTGGATAGGAGGGTGGGTGGGCCCCAGAGCCAGTCTGGACACTGTGGAGAAGTGAAAACTCTTGCCCTATTGGGAATCAAGCTCAGGTGATAACAGTAATAACGATTAATGAATAATAATAATAATAATAATGAATAATAAATACGTTGATGTGAAAGTAAAAAAAAGAAAGTAAAGCTATCCCTGTAATAGGCCGTGAAGGCCCATAGGGTTGTGAGACGTTGAGGGTCCCACATTATCTAGACAATCGGCTCAAAGATGGCAGTAAGGTTGTCAGCCTTACACGACACCTACGCTTTACTCCCCAGGAAAATTATTTAATTAATTCCTGGTACTCATTTCTGTTAGAGGCTGAGTAAACCCCAGGGCCTAGTGCGGCTGGAAGGATTAGGTCAACTGAAAAAAATCCAATGACATCAGGACCTGAACCCGCGACCTTCCGGCTTGTAGCGTAGCACCTCAACCACTACACTACCGCAGGTAGCTACGAACTGACCCAGGTGGCGATATCTTAAGTAAGCTATGGCATCACAATCACATAAGATGTGTGTGGCTGATTCATCTTCTTGTAGGCACCTTTCACAAATTGGGTCATCTGTCAGTCCCAGTTCGAAAAGGTGCCCTTTTAGGTGAAAGAGGAGAACTCGGAAAAGAATACAGAAGAACTGAAAAGGCTCTATTACAAATGTTCAAATGAAATTATATTCTCATGTTTTGCAGAATCTGTTACAGATATCATTTTGAAGGATGAAAACAAAGCTTATTTTCACTTACTTGGGAATAACAGGAGGCATTCCAGGTTTGAACAACCATTCTTTCCAGTCCACCTCCTTAAGTAGGCTATTGTTTGGAAAGTATTCATATAAAAACTTCTTAAAATCATCTGTGTCTATTGATTTGTATTTAAATTTAGTTATGTATGCTTTCAGGAATGGATCAAATACCTCTGCAAAAGATTAAAATTGCAATGTCAGAAGAATTTTCAACATGCTCTCCAATGGCACAGCATAATATGACTCTTAAAGAAATACTTTGTGACTACTTAATAACTTCACTTTTATCAAATATTTTTTGTTCTTATAATGAAAGTATTAAAAGTGAGAGACATTACTCAAATGTATACCACTTCTCCGGGATCTTATCATTGCATAGTTAACAATTCACAACTCAAAATACAAATATACAGTGGAACCTCGCTTAACGAGCACCTCTCATAATGAGTAATTCGCATAATGAGCAAAACAAATTGTAAAAAAAGACTCGCTTAATGAGCAACGTTTCCCATAATGAGTGACGAGAGGGGAAGTCCCAGATTGTGCGCTTGCTACATCGGTCTGTGTTTAGCACTCGTTCTGCTAGCATCTTAGTGTCGCTTGTGATCACACATTTTTCCAAACTTGTGTTCAGAAATATTATTTGTGAAAGTTTAATAACCCTTGCAAAAATGTCCCCGAAGAAAAAGCCGCAAAAAGACAGCCACAAGAGAATAAAAATAACCATAGAAATGAAACATAAAATCATTGAAAAGCGAGAACAGGGTGTGAGCGTGGCTGATCTAGCNNNCCGCGTAAAAGAAAAGATGATGATTCATGCTCCTTAACAATATATATATATATATATATATATATTGTAACGTGTTTCGTTACTGAATACGCCGTAGAGATTGTTAATTGGTTTATTTAACAACCTATAAGTCTCAGCTACAATTAATTACAACACAGTTGCGGGGTTTCACACTTTATAACCCTATTCGCAATAATCTGTTCACTCTATCTTCAGTAGTCTACACGTTTCTACAGTACGGGAGCTATACAAGTCTCTCTGTATCACACACTCCCAATTACACACACATCTGGTTCTTCTTTCCACGAACGCTGCTATACTCCAACTGTAGGCTGCTGACTGGAGAACTGTCTTCGGCACTGATGCACTTTAACTCTCTCCAGGGACGGCTACAAGTTACCTTACTCCGGTGCTGTGCAGTTCCCTTATATAGCCACAGTGCTTGCCTGTTACATAATGAGTGCCTTGTCACAGTAGGAACCGGTGACACGTCGCCGTGTTTGCGTATAGCCTAGCAATGCTGTTTACTCGCGCCGTGTTATGTCACCGCGCGTTGCGTGTTACGTCACCGTGGGGAGAGTGGCGGGGACGGAGCGCTGACTCATCCGCCACGTCACTGTGGCCAGAGTTGCCACATCACTGCTGGGTAGGGAGGGGCTCCATTGCGCAACATGTCACACTATATATAATTTTCTTTGAATAAACGTTATACATAAACATTTTTTAGTATTTTTTTCGGCATGGAACGCATTATTGTATTTTACATTAATTTATATGGGAAAAATTGTTTCGCATTACGAGTAAGATTCTGGAACGAATTATGCTCGTTAAGCAAGGTTGCACTGTATGTCTGAATTACTGGAATTTTTGGACTTTATCCATAGTCTGGTATTCGGAAACATCTTAAAATCCATAGTTATATGACAACAACGATGATGACAACAACAATAACAATAATTATATTTTGTAAGTAGGTGAATACTTTAATCACCTGGTCCTCCAGCAAGCTCTTCAAGATGGAACAGAAGAGTATGACCTTTCTCATAGGGGACAGTAGAAAATGCATCCTCAGGAGAAATTCCTCTCAAATCTGGCACTAGACATGTCAGAGGGCTGTTTTCTCCAAGGGCTGATATCTGTACAAAATCAAATACCAAGGCACAGGTGGGACACAGGATGTGGTAACTGAATGCAGATTTTGAAAAATGGAACATATTAATCCTTCCACTGAACCAATATATAGTAAAAATTGGAATATCTGACACCACCAAAACCAATGGGTTGCCAGAAATCATAATTTTTCCAACACTACAATGTTATATTAATACCTAATGTGTATCTTAATGTACCCAGAAACATCAGGGCATTTAACTTGTCACTTGATATTCTACGTTTTCCCCCCAGAACTTCTTTTCATTACCACTTACATAACAAGATGTATACATAATCTAGATAAATAAGTTTCAATCATCATATTCAAACAAATTAGTAAATTATTGTTTAACAGAACTTTCTGGATCATCCAGTGCCGAATACCACAACTTTTACTGTATACACTAACGTGATAAATGGTTATCACATTCTTCACATAGCTTTAAATTTAAAATACAATTCTCTTCACATTCTTTTCTTTTTTCTTGCCTCATGATATATATGTGGTAGAGTCATTAAGTTCGTAGAATGTGGTTTTTTCGCATCATATTACAAGGTATTCACATACACTTACACAGATCCACATCAGCCCTCAAAATAGTTGCCACTGGCTGCTATGCAAGTCTGCCAACGTTGATATAGCTGCCGTAAACATTGCTGAAACATATTGGCAGGAAATTCCCGTACTCCATCTATTGTGGCAATGACCACCTCCTCGGACGACTGAAATCTACAACCATGTAGCTTTGCTTTCAAGCAGTGAAAGAGAAAGAAATCGCATGGTGCAAGATCAGGTGAGTACAGACGGATTGGCAATACAGTGACCTGTTGCCTTGTCAGTTCCTCTTGGACAAGAACAGAGCTATGTTCAGGGGCACTGTCGTGTAGCAACAGCCAATTCTTCCAATGCCAAATGTTTCGTTAGGGGATTTGCCTAGTTTTTGGCAGAACTTGATGTTTGCCCATTGTTCAAACTGCCACATTTTCAATTTCTGCCACTTGCATTTAACTGCAGTTCACAATTGAGGTCGTAGTTCTACTTACACTGTTTGCACACAACTGCCTCGTACTGTGATGAGAGATGAACCGACAGGGCATCATATCGTGCCTCAACCTATCCACTGTAGCGCATTGCAACAACGCTTTGCGGCCATTCCACGAACTTATTGACTGTGGTAGTATGAGCAGTGAGAAGCAGTTTGTTTCACATCATATAACAAACATTCAAACTTTATTTCTTAAATCAAGTGGCTATAATGAAATTTCAAACAGCATAATAAAATTAAATTCACCATTAATAATTTCTCCACTTACTCATATTTGTAATGCAGTACTTAATACTAGTACTTTTCCTCATAGATTATACTTTGTCATAGTTAAACCACTATTTAAAAAAGGGAAAATTCATAATATATCCAACTATAAATCTATGTCAATGTTGACTTATTTTTCTAAGATCACCGAAAAACTCATATATGTGAGACTTATTACTCATACTGAAGCAAATAATTTGTTGGTACATGAACAATATGGTTTTAGGACACACTCCTCAACTGAGAAGGCAGCTTTTACATTGATAAATAATATTTTAACTGCGCTGAATCAAGTTAATGATGGGAGGCATTTTATGTGATTTACAAAAGGTGTTTCATTATGTTAACCATAAAGTATTATTGGATGAAGTGGAATTCTATGGAACTGAAGGAAAATTCAAAACACTTATTGGATCTTATTCGACAGGTAGATATCAAAAAGTTGTATTGGGTACTACAGTAGAATTGACAGTAACAACTGATCCAAATGGGAAACAATTAAATGCGGTGTTCCACAGGGCTCAATTCCTGGTCCCTTGTTTTTCTGCTTTATATTAATGATTTACCTAAAATAATAAATAAAAATAATAATATGGTATTATTTGCTGATGACACCAGCATTATACTAACTGACACTAATAAGTCAAACTTCGAAATAAATCTTAATCAAACTTTCAAAGATATAAATACATGGTTTTATGCAAATGTGCTTACCTTGAATTTTAATAAGACTCAATATGTTGAGTTTTGACCTATGAATTATTATAATATCACTACTCAAATTAACTATAATCAGATAAATTTAACAAATGTGACTGAGACAAAATTTCTGGGATTAATTATTGATGATACACTTTCATGGAAACAGCATATTGATTATGTTATTAATAAAATTTCCATTGCATGTTATGCATTGAGAAATATAAAATATATTGTCCCTTAAGATACGTTACAGCTAATTGATTTTGCTCACATACATTCTATCATAAGTTATGGTATAATGTTTTGGGGTGGCTCTTCTTGTGTTAACAAAGTTTTTATATTGCAAACGAAAGTTATCAGAATTATAACAAATTCTAGACCAAGAGAGTCTGGTAGGGACATTTTTAAGAATTTGGAAATAATGGCATTGTACTCTCAGTACATATAGTCATTACTTTTACACACAATTAACAATAAACATTTATTTAATTTTAACAATGAGATTCACAAATATAAAACTAGAGCCCTCAATAATTTATATTTACCTGCAGTTAATCTAAAAAATACAATAAAGGTGCGTACATATCAGGTATTAAAGTTTTTAATCATCTTCCTCAAACAATAAAAAAATGTTGGCTACTTATGAGAGAAGTTTTAAATCTGNCTTTTATAGTAAGTTGTTTTTTTTATTTTATATTATTATTATTTTTTTTACTTTATATTATTATTATTTATGTTAATCGATTAATGTAAGTGATTTTGATTATNCTGTAAATTTGTAATGTATTTAATTCAGTTAATATAGGTTATTTAAATAAAATTGTATTAATTCAACTTTTATAGTAAGTTATTTTTTTTATTTTATATTATTATTATTTTTTTTACTTTATATTATTATTATTTATGTTAATCGATTAATGTAAGTGATTCTGATTATGTGACTCGTGTAATTTTGTATATGTATCTTGATATATCTATTTTCAAAGGGACCATTTCCACATCCTAGGTTTGTTACCTTTATGGATATATGGAAAATAAAGGAAATGAATGAAATATGACCAATTCCATGACATGTATTGGTCTATTTAAAAAAAACCATCAGGTGGAGATCTTTACACATAATATACTGCCACATGCTAGGGACCAGATATGGGGTTTGGATTGATAACTGAATTTACTCAGTGTCTCTCCTACAAATAACTATAACACTTCCACTAATCTACAAACACTATAAATCAGAACTGCAAGTGCTAAATTTTTACTAGGCATTACTTGGCAGTGGCATCTAACAATACAGCTCAAGACTCCAGAGTCACAGTTAGAGTTGCATTACAACTGGGGGTTAACCACCAATCACTTCAGCTTGACACCAGGCTCCTCAAGGGTCATGACCACTGTTTTCTTTTGGCTGAACAGTCACAGTCAGTCATTTATGAATATGCTTGGGCTTGTCAAGCATACGTATTATACACATGGCATTTTACTGATAATTCTTGCTTTTGCACTATATATAAATCCTCTGCCAGTCCAGGCATTGCAAAGCATATCAGACTTATGTTACTATGGTAGTTTAGTCACCTGAACTGTTGTAAGCTTGATCACTGCCATGTTTTAAGTCTCTCATATTATTTATGTCTGGCTTTGCCTTCTCCTATACTACAAACACGTTCATTCTCACAATTTTGTATAACTTCTGCTTGTTGCCTTCACAACTTTCTTATAATTGTATACATATGGAATGTTGAAAGCAGTATGCAAATTGCAAATGGGTGTGCACCTTGGAGACTATAAGTCTCATACATCAAAGCATCATGCTGTGACAGGTATAGAAACCAAACTGGCTTACATTAAGCAGGCCTCTTTCTTCACTGTACCTTTGGATTATTTTCAGAATAGCTTCCTTGAATAGTTTGTCCACTGTGAACAAGAAGCTAATTGAATGTAAATTTTGAGGGAATTTTGGGTCTTTACCAGGTTTTGGCAACATATTTTTGCTTCCATCCTAGGCTCTGGAAAATGGGACAGCCAAAATTAGTGATGAAATAAAATGTCAGATGTACCAGTGATCTCCTTGGAAGATGTCAAGAGGCATTTCTTTGGAATAACATCAAGTACACAAACTTTTCTCAATTACAATGTCTTCACTAATTTCTGTCACACAGCCTTACTTCTCCCCAGTAGGGTGTCGTCTACAGATGCAAGCAGAGCTTGGACTCTAGTCTCCACCCATCACTCATAGTTTCACACAGGTCATGAGATGTGAACTGGTTTTCTAAACAATCTGCAATCATGTTAGCGTTCTCATTTGGGTGATATGTGATTCCTAAAGGGCCATGAACAGCGGTTTGTGCCTTTGGTCCATCCCTTTTCATAAGCAATTTCACATTAGGCCACAGAGCTTGAAGCATGATCTCACAATTCCCTAGTTTTGTTCCCCACTGTTCGAGAGCCTCTCTATGGGTCATTTGTCTGATGGTTTTGGTGACCCAATTAACTGCCATTTTGCATGCTGGATCCCAGGTTACTTGCCACAGTTTCCTTGAAGTCTGCTTATATTTTAGCTGGCTCTCCAGACCAGGTAGATCCTTACTTAGGTCTGAGGGTGTAATTTTGCTTGTTTATAGCCTATGCGCCAAAGCTACAGAAGCAGTGAAGTTGAAAGCCACTTTTTCGCCTTCTTCCCAAGTTAATTTGGATTTTAGGTGAAATTAATTCAAAGGCCGGGTTTATAAACTGCTCCAAATCTGTGAATTTGTCAACTGGGTTCAAAAGATTCCCATTTCTAACATGATCCAGTAAGTGGAAAATGATTGGTAGGTGATCTGAGTCCAGAATATCAGTGACAATGCCATCTGACAGTCAGACATTCCTGTGTGCAACAATATCGAGCATGTCACCATTTCCCACAGGAAAGTAATAAGTGGGATATTGCGGTGCCAAAATTTCAAACGTATTTACAGTATATGCAGTACTGAGTAGTATCACACCTGAAGGGCTGGAAACTATATTGCTCCAAAATGAATGATTATCATTCAGGTCTCCTGCCAGTACCGATTTATGTCTAAAGCTTAAGAGCTAAATGATGTCTGCATCACTCCAGGTGTCACCTGGTGACTTACAGTCTGTTGCACGTAGCACTTCCATATTACTGATCGTTATGCAGACCCCTGTGGCTTCTACTGAAATAAGGGGAGACAGGTCTACATGGTTATGGGGAACACCTTTTCTTCCCAGGAAGGGGTCAATCCAACAAAAGTGATAATTTGGAATAAAGAACCTCACATGGGGTTTGAAATGTCTCTGAGAGCGGAGCCCATCTATATTTAGGTCTTACAGCTCTTTACTGATCTGATTGAGCTGCCACCAAATTCCATTCGAATTAAACAATAGGACTTCAAGCAGCCTATGAACTCCATCAGATATCATCAAGTACCATTTTTGTGATAACCATTATGTTGTTCTCTTCTGACACAGTTTCACAGAGCATTGTCATGATCTGTTGCAGTACAGTGGTGACATTTATCATCTCACTGTTAAAATGGGAGCCTGTCAGAATTACTTTATGCCTGGCAGTTTACCCCCAACAGTTCATCTTGGTGACAAACCCCTTGAGGCTCACAACCAGTAAATGTTTTCCCAACTGCACACTTGCAGTCACAGTCCTTATGTAGCGTCCTCTCTGACAAGAGGATGGATTTGTCATTTACAATTGCTGCTGATCCTCACCAGCACAGTCATTCTCGGGTCTGAGTCCAGTGGGACTCATGACCACATTTTACTCTCTCAGATTCGAGACTCCCCCCACACCTGGAGGGCAAAGTCCCCATATTTATATCCCCCAGAAACAGGGTGGCCTGGTTATACCCCCAGGAACTGGGTTCACTGCCCAACTCACTCAAAACTCCACATCACATAACCCTTACAAAGACTGCACAGAAAATACCGCTTCCAAAAATTCCTGTATTGTTGAGTGATGTGTTAAGCTGGCTGCTGCCTAGCAACTGCCCTAGTACTGCTAATATGAGAACATATTGGTGGCTGTAAAAACGTGCTTAACAGCCATTGCCTACCAATAGATGACTTTTCTGGAACTGATATTCCGGCTTTCAGTCGCCATGTCATAATATAACAGATAACTACAAAAACTGTAAATTTAATATATAAGCTGGCAAGAAACACCTCTTGATACTATCTCACTGGTCTACATATCATGGATATTATGTAACAAATTTCATAATAAAGTTCATAGTACTTACTGCATCTTTCAGGTCCTTCAATCCACCAATTGCTGAAAAATGTCGAGCCTTCTCTCCATACAACTTTGCCAGAATCTTACGTTCCACAAATACTGTGAATCCTTCATTAAGCCAGAAATGTTCAAAGTTCCGGTTAGTAACCAAATTTCCAGTCCAACTGTGGCTGATTTCATGAGCCACTACATCAGCAAGAGACCTATCTCCTGCCTAGATAAACAAAACCAAATTCATAGCAAAAGGCATTCAAATCCTTGACATTACATTCTGTTAGAAACTGACCATTACAGAAATAATACACACTGATAGAATGGTAATAAACACATTCATGATCAGAAAGCATTCTGTTGTTTCTGTAGCCTCACACTATCCAACAGAAACCCAAGAAAATAGTGTATATGCCATGCCACATTTGAAAGCTTAAAGACTTTCTTTTTTTCATTGATTTCAGCAGCTAATGACTCCATGGAGAGTATACTTTATTTCTTGAAGAGAAGAGAGGTGACATATTAGTCATCATGACAAACAGAAAATTTTCTCTGTGATTTAAACAGCAACAATGGAAGATGAAATTTATGGGAGAAAAACAATGCTTCATTTTTCTAAGCAGTACAGTGACATATCTAGCAGAATAAGAACTGAAAATATTAAGAAAAAATGTGTAAAACAGAGTGTTAAATTAAATCATTATGCTTAAATACTACTCAGTTCATGTAAACACATAAATATATAGATACACATGTCCAGTAATATAACAGATCTAGTTCTACAATTTATAACATGAGACAGTATTCTTTTATGCATATCCAAATGTGTATTTTCAGTAATGATATATAATGTAATTACACATTCCAACATTCTGCAACTGCATGTCAATTATATGAACATTGTTCAAATGAAACACATTTGTAGAACTGCACGCAAATATGGCCAGCTGCAGCGGACCAGATGGTTGTGCACATGACACAGCAGTAATTTACCAGACGCTGTGTGCATGAAACACAAGCAGCTGACCATAAGCTGTACAAGAGAACAGGTATATCAAAGAAAACACAAAGAATGTGACTTAATTATAATTAAATGCTGGAATTCCAGCTATAGAATCTGCTCAAAGAGGACCAAAAAGCTGACATCAAATTTCTTTGTGTAAAGGACTGATGCCCCTGCATCACCATTAACACACAGCACTACCACTGAACCCTCCAAGACCACTGTATCACCATCAAAAGAAAGTGTCCAAGCATGTTCACCATGGATGTCATCATGTTGCATGACAATACTCATTACCATGTGGCCTGCATTGTCCAGGAAACACTATGCTTCAGGGGCCAGAGTGTGTTAAGCCAAACCCAGTACAACCTGGACCTGCCAACACTGAAGTTTACAGCCAAACAAAGACTTCAAGGCTGCAGTGGTTCACGCAGTAGCCCACAGAATTTCTTGCAGAGGGGCTCTATCAGCAGGTGCATCAATGGAATGCTCATCTCAGTGTAAATGGGGATTATTTTTTAAGTCTTTACCCATCTGCCAAAACAATCCCCAAACTGGTTTCATCTGAACATGTCTCATACCTGTAACAACTACCTATTCTACTTCTTCAAACTACTTAGAATTAAATTATGCCTCTAAAGAGATTACATACAAGAAGATTCTACTGAAGCCTTCACAGATTCTAATATGAAGTTTCCTAGCCTATGCTGCTACGAATCCTAAAAACAGATATTAATTTTACAGCTACAAACTCATATTTTATCTAGCACTGATTCAATGACCTATGTTACAAAATACTCAACTGTTCATGCGCAGAACATTTGATTTCTAAATTAACTGTTCATACTTCCTCACCTTTAAGTTTCAAACTAAGGGACTGAAGGTAAAGAATGTCTAATATAAAACAGATAGCATTTCATCAGCATCAGAAACAGTGTCCTTAAATTAACATGATCCAAACATTCCTGATAAGTTCCCTGAGAGCATAGAAAAAATTACATTGAAAAATGGCTAGAAAAATAACATTATTTGAAGAGCTAATGGGATAAACATTAATGCTGATTTATAAAAATGCATTCATATTTTGCGAATACATTCAGAATTCTATGTAAAACAACACTTCATAATCATAAATTTTAAATGCTTATATAACGATCGCCTTAACCATTGGAAGCATTTAGAAAATAAAGTATTTGGATAACTAATCATGCCACAACCTTACCAACTGAAAACAAAATTGATGTCCAATTAAGTTCTTTCTATGGGAACATACACATAGACCATGCACTATTCTACAGGCATACATCTCTGTAGATACAGCAGCAGAAACTGGCATTTCAATGGCCACTATAATACTCACCAAACATTACCTCCCACTCCCCATACATACCTAAACACTTGAAATGTAAAAAGGCTTACAAATCATGAAAACAGTAAACTTGCTAACAAATGGAAGTTCCACTGCAAACCACAAAAAACATTAAATACTTATTACCAGTAAGTTACTGAAATGTAACATACCTACCAACACAGTTGGAGTAACAAAGGTGAGACAAGGATTCTCCATTCCTCCAAAGGGAAAAGAGGGTGGTAGAACAAGCAAGTCATAGACTCCCCACACATATTCACCACAAATGCTCTCAGCAGCTAACAACATTTGTTCAGTCTGTAAACATATACATATTAAAAAAAAAAAATCCATGAAGCAGTCCTTCCTGAGAAGGTAACAGACACTCAGCTACTCAAGAAATTACCCTCCTTTCATGGAAACCATAGGTTCCATTCCACACCATTTCACCTATTTCCTCACCATCATTACAATATTATCCCCTCATCTATGCCTAGTCTTCCGAGGTCTCTTCCCTTCAAAATTTCTGATGAAAATTTTGTATGAAATATCCCATGAATGCTGTTATGCCCTACCCATTCCATCCACCCTGATATGTTAAAATAAACTACTACAACACCACCACTACTAATAATAATAATTAATGTAACTGTGTACTGTTTCACATGAAATGTACATACACCAGCAAGTACAGACAAGTAAGTTCAATAAATCCCCAAGTAACTTTATCTATGGTGAAAATCTAGTGAACTGGTGTGTGCTACTCCATATGACTAAAAGATTCAACAGTTTTGTGTCAAACTGCATTGGAATTCAGTTTGCTTTGTGGTTGCAGTAGTGTTTTACAGAAAAGAACATGTTACAGATGAGAAAAGGCTTGGCAACTTCAAGAACTGAGCCAGATATTACATACATACAAGTATATACCTATATTGAAATGGTAAGAAATGGTCACCAAACTGCTGTTTGAAAGACAACAGACTACAGTGGAACCTCGCTAAATGAGCATAATTAGTTCCAGAATCTTACTCGTAATGCGAAACACTCGTTAAGGGAAACAATTTTTCCCATATAAATTGATGTAAAATGTGATAATGTGTTCCATGCCGAAAAAATACTCAAAACATTTTATGTATAACGTTTATTCAAAGAAAATTATATATACATTGTTAAGGAGTGTGAATCATCTTCATCTTGTCTTCTATGCGGAATGAACCAACCTGGAATGCAAATTGGATTTGCAGAAAAAAAAAATTGAAATAATTAGTTTATTATTTATGATACATTTCTAATTCTTTCTTACTAGAAAGCTGTCTAGAGACATTTGTTTTTGCCGATGCTTCAAAATTTGGTGAAACTGTGACACAGCATTATCATTAAATAAATTTGTAGCGCGCATAGCCACTGCCTTATTAGGGTGATGCTTCTCAATGTACGATGCAACAGTTTCCCATGCTTTCAGCATTTCTCTTATTGCACCAGAAGATTGTTGCTTTGCTGTTACCTCCTCCTCCTCCTCCTCCTCCTCTGACAAACTCTCCTCCACAACTTCTTGCTGTGAAACACAATGTAACTCCAATGTAAGCTCTTCGGTGGTCAGCTCTTGGCTGTGCTCTTCCACAAGCTCATCGATATCATTGTTATCCACCCCCAGCCCCATGATCTTGGCCAAAGACACAATCTCGTTGACTACAGGCTCCACAGGTACTATCTCAAACCCCTCAAAGTCACATTCGACAATGCTCTCCAGCCAAAGCTTCTTCCAAGCAGAAGTGAGGGTTCTCTTGGCAACCCTTTCCCACACCTTTTCGATCATCTTGAGGGAGGCAACGATGTGGAATTGATATTTCCAAAACTCTCTGAGAGTGAGATTGGTCCCTTCAGTCACCTCAAAACAACGCTTGAATAGTTAAATTACTCGAAGAGTGCTTTAGTGTACAGCTTCTTAAAGTTAGAAATAAGCTGCTGGTCCATAGACTGGAGTAACAGAGTGGTGTTGGGAAGCAGAGACTGGATCTTCATGAATTTAAATTCTTCAAGGAGGTCATCTTGTAGGTCTGGAGGATGGGCAGGAGCGTTGTCCATAACAAGCAAAACATGGAGTGGCAGATTCATCTCAAGCAAATATTTTTTTCACAGGACCAAACACTTCATTGTTCCAATCAGTAAAAAGGCCACGTGTCACCCAAGTCTTGTTGTTGGACCTCCACATCACATTTAGCCTGCTCTTCTGGACTTTACACTTCTTGAAGGCTCGTGGAGTTTCTGAATGGTAAACAAGCAGCGGTTTAATTTTCAAATCACCACTTGCATTGGCACAAAATAGCAGCATGAGACGGTCTTTCATTGGCTTATGGCCGGGCAATGCATTATCCTCTGCTGTTATATAGGTTCACTTCGGCATCTTTTTCCAGAAGAGACCCGTCTCATCACAATTAAAAACTTGTTGCAGCAGGCAACCCTCAGAATCTACGAGCTTCTTGAAGTCACCGATGAAGTTCTCTGCTGCCTTTGTGTAGGAGCTTGTTGTGTCACCGTGTCTTACAACGCTGTGGATGCCGGTTCTTCTCTTAAATTTCTCGAACCACCCATGGCTTCCCTTAAATGCTTCTTCTTCGGCCATTGATGATCCTGGCGTCTTCTTAACGAGGTCGGCGAAAATCACTTTCACCTTCTCACA